GGTCAGCTCCTGCCCTGTGCAGGGCACAGAGGGATGAGAGGATCCTCAGGGGATTAAGGCAGGATGGAGGGCAGGAATTGCTCAGAATTCACCTGAATTCAGGTGAGATGAGCAGAACAACACCCTGAGGTGATGAACCCTGGCAGCAGTAGCTAGGCACCTCATTTATGGGAATATTTCCCTCTTGGTTGAGCAGGGCTGGGTTTGGATGATCTAATCCAGCTCCTCTGGCCTACAAAGGGGTCAGAAAAATGAGTTTATTTTTGGTCTGAGTCCATAGAAATGGAGCCAGAATCCTGTCACTCCAGACTTAGAAATGTAGGTGATTTTGTTCACTGGAGGTGTGAAATAAAGAATCATGGAATGAGGGAATTCCTTAGGTTGGAGTGACCTTAAAAATTATCCAATTCCAAATCCACTGCTGTGAGGAGCTCCCTCTTGACCAGGCTGCTCAGTGCCCTCAAAATATTGCTCAAATTTTACCCCTTCCTCAGCAGCCATTACATCAGGAATGGTTTGGTTTGGTTTGGTTTGGTTTGGTTTGGTTTGGTTTGGTTTGGTTTGGTTTGGTTGGTTTGTTTTCTTCCCTGGGGAATATTTCTAAAGGGAAATCACAGAGCAGGAAGCTTAGATCATCCAAGGACCTGGAAAGGGGGTGGTGATGTCCCTCTATGGGCTGGAAAAGATTTTTGAGGTCACCCCACTGCTCTTTCCATAGAACCAGAAAATGGAAACAAATCCCAGGGAAGTCCTGGCCTAATGAATATTTTCCTGACATTATTATTATTATTATTATTATTACCACTTAACTAGCAGTTCTAGGCAGCATTGAGGTTTTAATACTCAAATATCATTTTAAAATCAGCTAGGAATGAGCTGCAAAGTTTGGATAATGATGTAAAAACCCTTCCAACACCCAGTTAATCCCTAAGGGAAAAGCACCTGTTGGTCTTTGTGAATATTTGTGAAGTTCTCTGTGAATATTTGTATTTTCTATTCTTCTCCTTGGATATTCCCTTTGGGCCTGAGGCTCCAGGTTCTGAGCAAAGTGTGAGTTCAGAGGGTGCCTGGCATTCTCCTCCTTGATAAGAAAATAAAAATACCTGGGTCTCATACAAATGCTGAATTATCCAGGTTAATGAAACTCAAGATTGTGCTGGTGATCAGCACTGCAATTAATTTTTGGGATGTTCTTTAAATGTTTCCAGTGAAGAAGTCAAAGAAGCTCTTTGCAATCTGTGAGTGTAAAAAACTCTCAACCATTTCAGATAATTGGGTATTTCCACATCAGAATCAGATATCTAACAACAACAACAATAATTAAAGCAGGAATAACGACAATAATGATAATAAAAACAATAATAAACATATTAAACCCCAAACACAACAAACCCACCCCAAAACCCAGCTCATTATTTCCCCCACCACCATTTCCTTTACCATCAGCCTCGCTTTTGCTTTCATTACAGCTGCTAAATAGATTATTCATGAGCTCTCTCAGCACCACTAAACCATCCCTCTCTTTGTTGCCAGCCCCTCATTGGTGTCACACAGATTTTCAGCGTCTGCCCATATCTGATTATCTGTGGAAACAACCTTTCAATGAGCCTTTTTATCCACTCCTTTCGCCGGGGAGCTTTCAGGGACTAATTTTAGTTTCATGACAATAACAATAAGGTCAAGTTGTATTTCTGTGCTGCTTTTCACCCAGGCAGGCATTCCAGAGGGGCAGATGTGGCACAGAGTGGTTGTCACTGTTTGTCACCACGGCGTGGCCGCGTCCGGCTCTCCAGGGCTGAGTTGGGATAAAGCTCAGGAGAGCTGGGGGTTGTTCCTGGGGATGTTCTCTTCCCTTTTTTGGGGTTTTTGGGAGTTTTTTAATGTGTTTTTTTAACTTAACCAGTTGTGGAATATTTGGGGTAAAGCAGATGTGGCACAGAGTGGTTGTCACTGTTTGTCACCACAGCGTGGCCA